GCCGGCCGACCCCGAGCGCCGATCCACTCACAGGCCGCCGCTGACGCCTTCCGGGGCGCGCTTCCGGCTCCCGCCGGATATTGATCCTGTGCAGGGGCGGAAGACCCGCCTCCTGAGTGACGCCGTACGCCAGAGGCACGCCGGCTGCGCGATGACGACGCAAGGCGCCCCCTGGTGACGCCAGCCTGAAACCGGAAGCTTCGGCCCAGAGGAGCGCCTTGGGAGCTGTCCGGAGCCGATTTCGTCCCGGCGCCTGACTTTCTTGGCTGATTTTCTCTGGTTGCTTTCTTTCTGGACTTTTCTCCCTTGAAGTGAGAGCCAGGCCCACGTGGCTAGTAGTTTTGTTACCTTGGACGAGTGGCGGCCTTTGTAAGCCTGTTTGCTCGCCTGCCGTCCACATCCCTCGTGTCGTGCATGAACTTAGCGCTGGCCCCGGGCCTAAACTGGTAGAAGGTGTGGCGTTCTGACTCAGTGACCCTATGCATGGAGTGTTTTAAGATACCAAGGAGACCCCAAATCGCAAATATAATTTACGAAAAACACTAAGTCTTAAACAGGACGAAACCAAGACAAGAGACCCACCGTCGGGTTTCTGGGGTACTTGACCTCGGCTCTTGCTCCCCAATGCCGAAAGCATTCACGCGGCAAAAGCACTTTTGTAAACCCAAGTAGCTTTTATGAGGGTAAGGGAAGTTTGGGGTGATAATCTCAGCACACGTTATCTCTGGAAAGCATGCAAGGCTGATTTGCATGGGGGTGTGGGGTGCAGTCCAAGGACTGTGGGAGAGTTCAAGACTGAAGCCGGGCACTTAAGGGGAGTGCAAAAAGCCACATGGAAAAATGGCCATTAAGAGAGGTCCACAGAACCAAAATATGAGTCTTGGCCCGGAGAGGGCAGGTGAGTGGATGCCCTGGGTTCACAGGTGAGATCCCGCCCTCAGAACTGAGAGAGCGAGCCCTATCCTCCTGTGCTATTTATCCCCTCTTGTTCCCACTTGGGGAAGGTGGTGCGGCATGATTAAAGGTATTGGCCCATCTTAGTGGCTGAGTTCAGGTGCATGTGTGATGTAATGCTGCTGGTGCCTAAAATGTACCCAGGTTGACCTTCACCTGTGTGTAGGTGACCTTGGTCTGTAAGTGCCCAGCTTTGGACTGTCCCCATAGGTGTCTAACATGTGCCTGATTGCTTTGCAACCCCTTTATTGTGCACGGGCAGCTAATTTGCATTTAGCATAGGCATTCAGTGGAGACACCCCTTTCTCCCTGATCTTTCTACCTTTCAATAATGGCATCCAAGGATTCAGAGACACTTGGGTATGGGAAACTCTCACTGCCATCCTGTGGATGCTGACTCATCGCGAGTCTACAGGCCAAACTTACTGCCCCTGTAAATTTCCGAGGTAGTAACTCTACACGAGGGTAGAAAGCCCTGTCTTCCTCTGAGGAGGGGCTGGTGGCTCCAAACTGCTGGCCTTGTCGATCAGGAGAACAAAGGAAACCACAAATCATGATTGGTGGTAGATCAGTTCATCACAATCACAGGTGCAACTGCAGAAACGGGAATGGGACCATGACTGGGGCACATGCATTACGTAGAAGAGCTTACAAAATTGGTCCAGTGCGTCTGACCTAGGCAGTCAGAGCATGACTGATAGGACATGACTCATGAGGCTATGGACCTTAGTGTGGTGGTCTCCATCAAGGACACACCCAGACAAGCCCCTAAGTGGCAGTGTCCCTCCCTGGGCTGGCGATTGAGGGTGGAGTTAATCCACTTTCTAGTGCATGCTGCCAAGGGCATGACTGTTCACATCCCTGGTGGGTGGTAGAAGAATTCAATGGAGGTTTAATCGGGATGGGGGCTGTGTGAATGGATTTGGGGCTTTCACTGTTTCTCACGGCAGTTTTTGTCCTCGCACTGCCCTGTGTTTGTCCTCACAATCCCTACTGTGCTAGAACATGTTACTGTAGCCCAGGCGGTTCCCACTCATAGTGACCTGGGGCATAACAGAACAAAATACCTCCCAGTCCTGTGCCAGCTTCACAGTGGCTGTGTTTGAGCCCATTGGTGCAGCCACTGTGTCCTTCCATCTTGTCGAGAGTCTTGCTCTATTTCTCTGACTTTACCGCTCATGGTGGCCTTTTCCGGGGACTTGTCTCTCCTGATAACATGCCCAAAATAGGTGAGTCGAAGCCTCACCATCTTCGCCTCTAGGAGTGTTCTGGTTCTGCTTCTTCCGAGATCTATGTACTGGTTCATTTGGCAGTTCATGGTCGTTTTCATGATTCCTTGGCAGCGCCGTAATTCAAATGCAGCGAGTCTGTCCAGTCTTTCTTGTTCGATGTCCAGTTTTCACATGCACAGGAGGCAGTCGAAGATACCATGGCTCGGGTCATGTGGACCTTCATCCT